GACTGATCATTTCTTTGTGAGTGGGCAAACATTCAAAATCAGCAGGGGATCAAAAATACTTATTTCCTTCACTGTAGTATCAGGGCTTGGGTTAGATTGCCTTAAGTCTGCAGAGTATTAGGGTCAGTCACATGGTATTGTCTCAGGGTTATGTACTATTGGGGTTTTATAATATTTACACTGCACTGCATATTAGAACATTATGACAAACTTACCTGAAAATGGCACCCTCCAGTGGCATGCTGTCATGGGAACTGGCGCTTCCATTTTCACTTGGTCTTCTGGGTTTTGCAGACTTCACTCGTATAAATGGCTGAGCCAGGATGACTTCACACCTGTGCACAAGACGCACAGCCACGGCAGAGAACTCTGAAGGAAGGCCACACATATGCCATTCATTCAGAGCACATGCCCCGGTGATGTCACCAGCTGCTGCTAAAGTAAATATCTCCTATATGATGCACATTTATGAGATATTTACTGTACCAAATGTAAGCCTCATTATAGGCTTACCTATAGGTACAAATCTACAATGTGACTTTAATACCAGTTTAGTGTGGAATGTATGTTCCCTGCCAAAGAACATGATTTTTTTTTATCAGGTTGTTATGGATAAAGTTGTACTTGTACAAATGGCCATACAGGGCATCTATAAGAGGACGTACCATATGGGCAGTACATGATCATATGGTTACTTGTGCTATTGCTAATGCTTCTACGTTGCTTAGATCAGCTGTACTAATAAAACACTGTTTTAAAACTTTGGTCTATGTCTCAAGACACCCTAAAGTCTCAATGAATCCTTTAATATCTTGGATTTAGTGCTTTATTTACAGATTTGGTCCTTTTTCAAAGCCCGTTATACTTATTATCTCTTGTGAATTCCTGAAAATATCCACTCCTGTGGATACACTGATTAGACACATGAGGATACTTCCACAAGATGCTTCAACTAGACTGCAAGTGGTTAGGGAGAGATGGGGAGCCACATCAATTGTATAGTTAAAAAAAATGTATTGACAGTGTACACTCAACGGCAATATTATATACACACACAATAAATTATTCTGGACTCCTTACGATTGGTGCAATGCTCCATCTCTCCCTAATCACTTGGCTGCATGATCTTTTGGTGTATGGCCAATTCACAAAAATGATGGTTACTATAAAGGCATCACAAACAAACCTAATTAAAATAATGCCAAATACAACTCAGTATTCTGTGAGTTTGTGACAGGTCCTCTTTGTTGTATGTAGTCCACTGTAGCTGCGTACATACTCTTGGAGTAAAACGCAGATCAGGGTCGGCATAAGTAACTGGCAGCGCCTGTATATCACGACTTTATTTAATAATTACAGGAACCCTTTTCTCATTCTTTAGAGAAGTGGCCTCTCAGATGCCTAATCTTAGGCACTTTGCTGGATTAACAGAGGAATTTTAATTCTCTGGGTAATGCTGCTGTACATGTCACACAGTGAACTGCAATCCTTCAACGTCAATATTACATGTACTGCTTAATAACAAGCTTGCTGGAAATTAACAGCCAGGATAGTAAAAACAGAGGGATTTAAAGAGAGTAATATGCTTTCTACGCAGTATTTTATTGTTGATGCTGATGGGATGTATTAATTTGATAAGACTCCAGTGTAGAGATTTCCTTGTGGTAGTCCAATTCCCCACCCCCACCCCAAAACGATGAGATGTACCTGCAGTAGTATGCATCTCTGCCTCTCTCACAATGAGATTTCCTGTGGTAGCTTGTGTCTCCGCCCCTCCCACAATGGTGAGATTTCCTGCACTACTTTGTGTCTCTGCCCCTCCCACAATGGGGCAATTTCCGCTAGTGCACACAACCCCATGTTTCAGTGGGGCAAATTATACAATCATAAAATGAAGTGAAAAAATGCTGCGCTACATAAACCAATTGTACAAACCATTATATAACCAAAAAATAAAGTGAAAAAATAAATTATTAGAAGAAAAAAATAGTAGTAGAAAAAATAATATTGAAATAAAAATATAGATATACGAATATAGATATTAAAAAACACACCAAAAAATAAATAAAATATAAAAATTAAGAATATTTTAAGTACGAATCAAATATGAGTCAATCAAAATTAAAATTAAATCAATAAAGTGTTCATTCAGTGAACCCTCCTTTGGATAACAAAAAAATATGTGCATCTGTCATCAGTTCCCGTGCAGAGACATCCTCCACCTTATATCTGCTCACCTCACGCAGTGTGACCTCACAGTATACAATGTTACGGTCTAACTGCACTTTTGGTTCCATATAGACTCAGAAAATCAGCTTGCTGAATGAAGACTCCAAAGTAAGCTCCCTCCTGATGAGCGTCTTTGTATCAGACATATTCCTCATTAAAAAGAACTCAACATAGTGCTTTATCCTTATAAACTTTTATTCATCAATTATAACATAAGAAATATTCTCACGTTCCGGAGGTGTATTTTGCACCAGGTATGATGAAGATCCCGTGATGTACTGATTAAACACTAGATGGCAATATCATCTCAGCAGCAGAGTCCTGTACAAGCTCAAAACAGACACCATCCGTAATATAATGCAAGGCAAAGCACGGGCCACTTAATGAATGCTATTGTCTGCTGTAATTCCAAGAGCCGTTTGTAGAGTACTACAGGCCACTATCCCGATGAATGGCAACATTGTTACGTCAAGCGCACACTCCTCCCGACGCGTTTCATCACTAGTCACATGACTTTATCAAGGGGATCCCCCTTACCAAGGGGACTCTGCTGCTGAGATGATACTGCCATCTAGTGTTTAATCAGTACATCACGGGATCTTCATCATACCTGGTGCAAAATACACCTCCGGAACGTGAGAGTATTTCATAGGTTTTAATTGATGAATAAAAGTTTATAAGGATAAAGCACTATATGGAGTTCTTTTTAATGAGGAATACGGCTGATACAAAGATGCTTATCAGGAGGGAGCTTACTTTGGAGTCTTCCTTCAGCAATCTTCTGAGTCCATATGGGACCAAAAGTGCAGTTAGACCGTAACATTGTATACTGTGAGGTCACACTGCGTGAGGTGAGCAGATATATGGTGGAGGATGTCTCTGCACGGGAATTGATGACAGATGCACATATTTTTCATTATCCAAAGGAGGGTTCACTGAATGAACACTTTATTGATTGAAGTTGAATTTTGATTGACTCTTATTTGATTCATTTAAAATATTCTTAATTTTTATATTTTATTTTTTGGGTGTGTTTTTTATATATATATATATATACAGATGCACATATTTTTCATTATCCAAAGGAGGGTTCACTGAATGAACACTTTATTGATTGAAGTTGAATTTTGATTGACTCTTATTTGATTCATACTTAAAATATTCTTATTTTTTATATTTTATTTTTTGGTGTGTTTTTATATATATATATATATATATATATATATATATATATATATATATATATATATATATATATATATATTTATATTTTCATGTATCTAGATTTTTATTTCAATATTAATATTTTTCTACTACTATTTTCTCTTCTAATAATTATTTTTCACTTTGTTTTTTGGTAATATAATGGTTTGTACCATTGGTTTTATGTAGCGCAGCATTTTTTCACTTCACTTTATGATTCACTAAGCTCTGGTGCAAATTGCGTTGCAGAGTGCAGCTGCACTTGCAAAGTGCATAGTCTATTTTCCTTTAGTAAATCAACCTCTAAGACTATTTTTTATGCCTATATAATTTTAATATATAAATATTAAAGAACATTTAAAGCTTTTTGGTACAGTTTTGTTTAAAAAAAAAAAAAAAAGGCCCTGGTTTTTTTTATTTTTTAATAGGCTGACAAATGCACAAAAATTGAAAAATTGTAGTCCTTTTTTTTTTCATTATTATTGTAACTGTATCTGACAGTTACACTATTAAATATATCTTGATAGAGATGAGCAGCCTGAAAGTGCAGTGCTCATCTGCAGGCTTTTTTGTCACTGGAGTGATTACTGTGTCGGTGCTGGCTCAGTTATCACATGATGAAGAATCATTCTGTCTGGTTACTGAGTAAGTACATAAGTAGGGACCCCATTTGTCACTGTGAGCAGCTATGTAAAAAGTGTCAACTACTTGTTCTCAAAGGGGAAGGCTTTTATTAACATATCCTCTACCTGGGGCATTAGGCAGTACCAGCATCATCTACCCCCATTGCCCCATTCCTTTCTCTGCATTAAAGTGATAAAATGAAGGCAATTTTGTTAAAAAATGTTATACTTACCTGCTCTGTGTAATGGTTTTGCACAGAGCAACCCGGATCCTCCTCTCCTTCAGTCCCCTGCTAGCAGTCCTGGCCCCTCTCTCCTGCCAAGTGCCCCCAGAGCAAGCAGCTTGCTATGGGGGCACCAAAGCAGGCTTGCTCCTGAGCCACTGCTCTGAATTTCCATTCATACACGGAGCTGTGCCTCAGCCCCACCCCCTCTCTCTCCTCACTGGTTGTGACTGACAGCAGTGGAAGCCAACGGCTCCCACTGTTGTCTCATCCAATGAGGAGGGAGAGTTCCCAGGGAGCCAAGGCTCTCATGCACATCGCTGGATCGTGATGCAGCTCAGTTAAGTATTGGGGGGGCTGCTGCACACAGGTGTTTTTTTTTTACCTTCATGCATATAATGCCTTTACAAACACTTTAATATAACTGCTAGATTGGCAGTGCTGGCCATGCACATTTTTGAAGCACTTAGGGCTATGGGCAGCTTTAGGATGAATCCATAAAAAACACACCATCCACTTCATTGTTTTGTTTGTTTTCTAATTACTGCACTCAGATGGAGATGAAGATGGCTTAAGACCCCAATACAAATTCAGCACAGTTCAAAATAGTGATTTTCTAAAAAAAAGCTACAAACATAAAAAGTCACTAAATACACAATTTCATGGACAAGCCCTACAGCTAAATAACGACAGGAAGACAAAGTTCAAATATAGTACTGACCCGATCAGCGCTGATATCCAGAGCATCACACAACTTCACTGCAAAGTGCTTGGAGCGCTCAAAGCTTCCTTTCCCTATACTATTAGAGCCATCGAGAAGAAAAAGGATATCCAGAGGGGCAGAACAGAACATTCCTGGAAGATATGGGATACACATGAAGGCAGGAAACAGTTACTAGAGATGACTGCAGCTACAAAAAATGAATATAGTTATTAGATATACAGAAATGTGATCATGTGTGTTTCTGTACTTGTGGTTACACCAGCTATACAATTCTACTCACTCTTTCGCTTGTCATGATTACCTTCATAATCTCAAAACTTTACTTTTTTGTTGTTGCTGAGCCCACAGTGTGGTGCACCAAAAGTGCATGTGAACACACACAAAAAAGTGCACTTCGGGTGTGTCACGTGGTCCGCTACCAAAGCGGACAGACCCCTTCCTGACATTTTTGGGAGCAGACTCTGGACGGGGGTAAGGCACATTTAAGTCCATGTATCCAAAAGGCCTGGCAGACCCCACACCTCATGATCAGCCAAATGCAACCCAACGAGTACTAGGTAACGGGCTCTCGCGAAGACAGATCCCCCAAGGCAGGGGAAGGAGAAATCTGCTGGCTACAAATCCTCCTCCTGGGCTCCAGGATAAGCCCAAAGTCCCACATCCTTCACCCTGAGTGAAATGGTGACACATATCAGGGCAGGTGACCAGGGGCGGACTGAAAACTCATGGGGCCCCCGGGAAATGGGGGATCATGGGGCCCCTGTGTCCTTGCCCAAACTCAAAAAAGCCTATGAAAAAGGTACCAGGGGTATCTCATGGGGCCCCCTACTGACCCTGGGCCCTCGGGCAGTGCCCGAGTTTCCAAATGGTCAGTCCGCCTCTGCAGGTGAGACACGTAGAGATAAAAATAAATAGATAAAAGTAAAAAACTGCCAGTGCATGTCCACTGGCTATGCCTTGCAGCCTGGTGGCAATTGCCCTGGTCTCAGCCAAAAGGCATAGCCTATGACTTAAAGTGAACCTGAGATCTACCCATGTTTTTCCTACCCCTCCCCAGCAGCCCACACTCAGCCTCTCCTTTGCTTCCCCACAGCTCCATTCACCTGCTGAGAGAATTCTGCCCTGTGAGAACAGAGCGGCTCCTGTCAGAGCTTTCACATGGCTCAGGAGTCTCCCTGCCCCCATAAGACAGCACAGGGCCACTTACCAAGTCACATGCTTCAGATCAGCAGGGAAAAGAAGAAAATGTAAGTATATGGTGCTGGATAGGGGGGCATTAAAGCAAACTTATTTCTTTACCTTTCTTGGACAAATACAGATTTTCTTAAATTCCAAGCATAAAACTAATGGGGGTTCATGTATCACATGTTCAGAAGCAGTGATGTACATACCTGATATTTTTCTATATTATAAAACAGATACAGGACCAACGCTTTATACAAAAAATGTGCTGCGCTAAAACACACAAAAAAGTGCCAAAATATAAGTGAAATAAAGTGTCCAAAATAACAATAGTGAAAAAAGTGTCCAAAATTCAATAGATGAAAATTTATAGAAAAGAAGAATCCAATCTTCCTGTGAAATCCGCCCCATAAAGACACCACCAAGAATGAGATCCATTTTTGCTTACCAAATGAATATGCCGCTATAGCTATAAGAGTCATAATGCACTTAAGAAATACATACAGGTCCACACTCCTGGCCTCTAAGCAACTTCCTCTGCATGACTGTTTCTCTCTCCAAGGGGTATCAGCACAAGGCTCTTCACCCGATTATTTCCAAAAGTATGCCAAGATATCATTTATGACGAAACTCGTATGTTGGAGTCTGTTGTGGCGTCATCACGTATACCCGAAGAAAAATTGAAGTGTGGAGATTTGTATGCAATTCAGTATTTTAGACAGCAGTGTTTATATTTATTTGCTTGTAAGTGCAATTTTATTGGCTTTTAATAAATATATAGAAGTTTTCACACTATGTGGCGCTTTTTGTGCTCTGCTCATTGGTATATCCCTTCATACTTTTGAAGATGGTTGTCTGATGAGCTTTCTGCCGATACCCCTTGGAAAAAGGACCAGTCTTGCAGAGGGAGTTGCTTGAATCTCATTCTTGGTGTGACTTTCACAGGAGGATTGGATTCTTCTTTTAGATAAATTACTCTACTGATTTTTTGGACACTTTATTTCACTATTGTTATACTGCACACTTTATTTCACTAGTATTTAATTATATAGGTACTTGGTGTATTTCAGCGCAGCACATTGTTTGTACATATTAGATTGCTGTGTAAAATACCAGATAGCATGCTTGCTGTTCAAAGTTGGTTGTTGTCCCTCAAGTGCAGTTACTACTTTTATTATAAGGTTACATGACCAAAGCGATCACATAATTTCTAGAACAAAAGGGTCAGCCTGCAGTTTGGGTGGGCTGAAAAATAAATTATGGTAAGGTATATTAGCTCTTAAGCAGTGATTAACCTCTTGTTTGCGGAGTTAAGCCAAAATCCACAGAATGAAGCCATCAAGGCTTCAGGTGTCACATGACTCACTGCTGTGTCATGGCTCCTGTACCAACATGTCCATTATTATCACTAGAATATTACTCAGATTACTGTCCTTTGCATGCAGAGTCCAAGACCCCCCCCCCACCTCCCCCCAATGTACACACATAGGCAGACAGGATTAAGGTCAGGCCTGTTCTGACCACAGGACTAGTCTGACCTGTTTTGTATATCACTAATGTCTTAAAATACAATCACCAGATCAACAGCTGATTAAAGTAGATGTAAACCCAATCACTAACATTTAATGTAAGCTTTGGCATGCTAAAGGAAATCAAAAGAGAATGACAAACCCCAGAGAATTCTTCAAATATAGTAAATAGTAAAAAGGTCAGGTCTAAGCATGTAGGCCCTTTACAAGATTGTTTAGATTTGGTGACTGGGCACAAAGAGAAGGCAAATTTATTAAATATCTTCTTCAGCTTTGTGTATACAAAGGAAAATGGGGGAGCTCAAGTTCATAATGTGGACAGTATTGACATTGCCCCAAAATATCACCAATGGCTCAAAACTGATCCGGTCCTGAAGCATTTAAGACAAAATAAAGCACCTGGATCAGATTGCTTACACCCACGGGTCCCCAAAATAATTGAGCCCTGTTATTTCAAACCTCTGTTGCTAATTTTTAGAAAATCTTTAACCGCTTCCCGACCACCCTATAGCAGAACCATTGCTAAAAAGGTGGCAGGGCTGCACAAAATCATGTATATACAGGTGAAACTCGAAAAATTAGAATATCGTATTTCCCCCAGACTGACAATGTTGCTGCCAGTTGTGCCTCCTGTGATAATTCATCCAGAGTTATGTCTTACTAATACCGGAGGTGTGTTACTGGCCAGATCACCAGGTGAAAACCGAGGGGGAAAAGCCAAAAGAAAAGAAAATCTAATGCAGCCAGCAAATGTAAAAACTCGAAATATTAGAATATCGTGCAAAAGTTCATTTATTTCAGTAATGCAACTTAAAAAGGTGAAACTAATATATGAGATAGACTCATTACATGCAAAGCAAGATAGTTCAAGCTGTGATTTGTCATCATTGTGATGATTATGGCTTACAGCTCATGAAAACCCCAAATCCACAATCTCAGAAAATTAGAATATTACATGCAATCAATAAAACAAGGATTGTACATAGAACAATATCGGACCTCTGAAAAGTATAAGCATGCATATGTACTCAGTACTTGGTTTGGGCCCCTTTTGCAACAATTACTGCCTCAATGCGGCGTGGCATGGAAGCTATCAGCCTGTGGCACTGCTGAGGTGTTATGGAAGACCAGGATGCTTCAATAGCGGCCTTCAGCTCTTCTGCATTGTTCGGTCTCATGTCTCATCTTTCTCTTGGCAATGCCCCATAGATTCTCTATGGGGTTCAGGTCAGGCGAGTTTGCTGGCCAATCAAGCACAGTAATCCCACGGTCGTTGAACCAGGTTTTGGTGCTTTTGGCAGTGTGGGCAGGTGCCAAGTCCTGCTGGAAAATGAAGTCAGCATCCCCATAAAGCTCGTCTGTGGAAGGAAGCATGAAGTGCTCCAAAATCTCCTGGTAGACGGCTGCGTTGACCCTGGACTTAATGAAGCACAGTGGACCAACACCAGCAGATGACATGGCTCCCCAAATCAACACAGACTGTGGAAACTTCACACTGGACTTCAAGCATCTTGCAGTGTGTGCCTCTCCATTCTTCCTCCATACTCGGGGTCCTTGGTTTCCAAATGAGATGCAAACATTGCTCTCATCAGAAAAGAGGACTTTGGACCACTGAGCAACAGACCAGGTCTGTTTTTCTTTAGCCCAGGTAAGACGTTTCTGACGTCGTCTGTTGTTCAGGAGCGGCTTGACAAGAGGAATACGACATTTGAAGCCCATATCCAGGATCCGTCTCTGTGAGGTGGCTCTTGATGCACTGACTCCAGCCTCAGTCCACTCCTTGTGAAAGTCCCCAACACTTTTGAATGGCCTTTTCCTGACAATCCTCTCCAGGCTGCGGTCATCCCTGCTGCTTGTGCACCTTTTTCTTCCACACTTTTCCCTTCCACATAACTTTCTATTAATGTGCTTTGATACAGCACTTTGGGAACATCCAACTTCTTTTGCAATTACCTTTTGAGGCTTTCCCTCCTTATGGAGGGTGTCAGTGATGGTTTTCTGCACAACTGTCAGGTCAGCAGTCTTTCCCATGATTGTGATTCCTACTGAACCAGACTGAGAGACAATTTAAAGGCTCAGGAACCCTTTGCAGGTGTTATGGCTTAATTAGCTGATTAGAGTGGGACACTTTGAGCCGAGAATATTGCACCTTTTCACAATATTCTCATTTTCTGAGATTGTGGATTTGGGGTTTTCATGAGCTGTAAGCCATAATCATCACAATGTTGACAAATCACGGCTTGAACTATCTTGCTTTGCATGTAATGAGTCTCATATATTAGCTTCACCTTTTAAGTTGCATTACTGAAATAAATGAACTTTTGCACGATATTCTAATTTTTCGAGTTTCACCTGTATACGTTAGTTTGTATTTCCAGGTAGGGGGGTGCTCGCTCAGTGGAGCAGGGACTTTTCCCT